CCCTTGGGATCGCCGCCCCATTGCCTGTAAAGAGCCGCCTTTACAACTGAAAGGCGGCTCGAAAGGCGGGGGCAGGTAGAGCTCTCTGCCTAGCCCCAAAAGTTTTTTTTTACTTTTGGGGACGAAGCAGATGATGCTCCCTATTTCCCTCGCCGTTGCTCCAGGCTTTGGGAGACCTCTGCTTATGCAGAGCTAGGTGACAAGTTCAAGCCTACAAAACTAACAGAACAATTAAAAAGGATATGAGCTGGACCTGTGACCCTGAATCGCAAGTATTTCATCTATTTTATAACAATTATTGAAGAAGGAAATGGAAAAGGAGAAAAAGAATTTTTAAAAATGGCGACTGCCGAGGCTTGAGAAGGGGCTGAAAGGGAGAGTCCTTCCGTTTTCTATTAAGATACAAAGTAGCGGAATAAATACTTCTGGCTACAATTGAAGAAGCTCTACTTTTGTGTTTTGTTCTTCCTGGAGATCTGATATTGATCTTGGTTGGAAAGAAGTTTTTTTTTTCTTCTTTGCCTCTCTTTTCTTTTTTTAAAAATAGTTTGTCTATGTGGAAATATGGCATTAAAGCTTGCAAAGCCGGACGAACAAGCAGGGGGGGGGGATTCCCCCATTAATAAATTACGTGAACAAGTTCTAAATCTCCAGTCTCAGAAAACTGATTTTAATATAATTGAATTTCTCTTGGAGGAGATTGTAAGAAGGGATGAGATTGTGAATCAGAACTTTAAAAAATTTAAGCAGGAAATTAAGGAATTAGTGCAATCAAAGTTTGATATTTTGGACCGAAAGATCATAAAAGTGGCTAATGGTTTTGCAGAATTTATGATCAAGTTGGATGCAAATACTAACTTATTAGAGTCTAAAGTGGAAGAAATTGAGGACAATTTGGATAATAGAATACAAAAAATTGAAAATGATTTGACAAACACTCAAGAAAATAGCTCAGAAGAAAATCCTAAAATGGAGGCTGATCAAAAGACTTGTAATGCAGAAAACATACAACAACAGATTGAAAGAGAAGTTTTAATGATGCAATATAATTTTACTGAATATGCAATTAGACTCAGAGGACTGCAGGAAAATGACAGAGATGATTTAAGGAAAATATCTTCTGAAATTCTGGCTGGGATTTTAAAGGTTCAACCTGAGGAAGTATTTTGTAGGATTGACAGAGTTTATAGAACAAATTCCTGGATTGCAAAGCAAAGGCAATTGCCTAGAGATGTGGTGATTTATTTTACAGATAAAGATATAAGAAATAATATTGTGCAAAATTCTTTCAATTCTACTTTGCAATTGTTTGGAAAAAAGATTTGGATTTACAAAGAGCTCCCGCCTAAGATGTTATTGGAAAGGAAGAAATTTGGTTTTCTGGTGACTGAGCTAAAAAAAAGAAATATTCTATTCAGGTGGGACGCTCCAGTTGGTATAATATTGAGATATTAAGGAGAAAGATACCAACTAAATACTGTTGAAAAAGCGGAAGAATTTTATCAAAAAATCTTGAAAATGAACTTAACATCTTTAGGCACAATACAGGATAAGCAGAAGGAATTGGAAATAAAGGCAAAACATCGAATTATAGAGGCTGCTGTGGATAAATTGCTTTTGGATTCTTCAGACACCTCAGCTGGACTATCTACAAATACGAGAGAAGTGGCATCGGGCTCCAACGTGATGATTCATCAAGTCATAGACAAGTATGGAAACCAATTAGCTGATACACAATTGATAAAAAAGAAATATCAGACACAAAGGCAAAACCAACAAGATCAAGTTATAAAGCAGAATGAAAACCGATCAGTTGATATACAATTTGCAGAGAGGAAACCAGGATGGAGATTAAACCCACAAAAAGAAAAGAAAAAAAGAAATAGGTCTCATAAAAATAGAAATTTCTAAATTAAGCAACAGTGAAGCCAGTTATTTTAAAAAATGAATGAATATGTGAAAAGACAGTGGAGGCGAAGTATTGGTTAATATTATCCTGAGGACAGTGACAGACCTCTGCAATGCCGTAATTTTGGGATGTGAAAAGAGCCTTAAACTGTTGGATTTGAATTATCTATTTTGGATTTCTTTCTTTTATTGATAAATATATTATAATTATCTTGAGCTATAAGGCAAGAGAGCTACGCAGGGGCATGCAGAAGATCTGGTTGTTACCCATTAGGATGATGGGAATTAATAATCCTGATGAAAGCCACAATTACAGCTATATGGAATATAATTATAATGTCACTCGGGTGGTTGTTTTTTTCTTCTATATATATATGAGGATATTCATTACTGATGGGGGCAGATGATGACTGAAGATTTTGAACAAACTGTTGCACTAGGATGCTATGTTACCCTATTATGGATGATGGATTTAACAATCCAGTGGAAAGACATCAAAGAAGATATTATATGGATTATAATTATTTTTTATATAATGGAATATATATATATATATATATATATATATATATATATATATATATATATATTAGCAGAGTGGGCAGTGGATTAAAGATATTAAGAATTGTTGTGCATGGCAATTTTGTATGAAGTGGGTGGAAATAGGTTACTTTATTGATTGTTTAGTCTAAGAAAAGGGATGTTTAAGTGATATATTTAGGGGAGTGGAGCAAATGGATAGAGTTGAATAAATGTTAAATTAGGATTTATGGGGTAGGCTGCTTAGAAATGTTATATTAATATACATAAAAGATTAAATGTTAAAGTAGGATTTATTATATAGTTTTAAAGTGGAAGGTTGTTTTGAAATGTTGTATTAATATATAGATATAAGTATGGAGGAGGAGAAAAAGGGCAGATTATTGCTAAATTGGGAGTTACAATAATATTATAAGTTATAAATTAGAAGTTATACAATGTTACAGTAGAATGTTATTTTGAAATGTATGGTAAAAGGGGGAAGTAACAATATTAATAATATTATTAGTAAGGGTCAGTATTTAGAGGAGGGAGTAAGGGGATGGTAAAATATTATATAATCTGTTATGAATTGGGTTTTTGTTGTGAAGAAGTCACGGGGGGATGGGTGGTGAGGGGGGGTTAGGGGGGAGGGGGGGAGAAAAATGGGGGGGGAAAATTTGTATTCAAAAACTTTTTCAATAAAAAAATAAAATAAAAATGTGATCCAATATACTGTTTTATGTATGACTTGTTTAACTAGAGCTTATTTGGAGCTTTGATCAGATTGAATGGCTACTATGGATACTTCTAAAAGATTTGCAGGCTCTATGCTTACAGCTGTAAATTGTTAACATCCTAGAGTGACTTAACTTTGTAATGAATCCTTTTTTCTCTCTCTCACCTAGATATTTGTAATAAGTTCCAGGTTATAATTTTCATCAGAATTAAATCCTGGATAATAGATACTTTACTTTGAAGCTATCCCAAGGTTAAGAAGCAGGATTTTTTTTTAATTTTTTTTTACTTTGAACGTCTATTGTCATTTTGATTCTTTGGTTAGGTTGCACCCTGAAAGGAAGGAAGGCCAACATACTTAATTGTGTGCTATATTATATTTGTAGACTCACTCAATTTTTCACTCTCCCTAACATGTCTTATAATATCATGTCCCAATCATTTATTTAATGGAAACAGTGTGATGCCTCTGCTCTACCCCAAAGCCCCTCAAATCACCCTTTCAGATCAATTCGGTCAACCAGAAAAAGTGTTTCCTCAATGTTCTCCATTGTGGGTGGAGACAGCAGCCAGGATGGGTGATGCACTCGTCTGTCCTGATTGGTGGACTGAGTCTGTCAAAGTTGTTAAGCTCCGCCCTTGTTGCTAGGGCCTTCCAGCTTTTGACTGAGGGTAGCACACTATTTTGGCCCTGAAGCCTACATATACTAAACAATATTGTGCAAGTGGGAGGGTCAAAGGGTTATCTTCCAGCTTTTTTTTTCCTCCTTAACTCTTTGAGGTAGATGTTCAAATTGTGTTTAAAACTTCAGTCCCATTCTACATTTTAAAACAACTAGTGATGCTTAAACTGGCAATTGATCCTGTGTACTTTGCTATTAGATTTAAGCAGTGTCAGTTAAGGGTTCTTAAATCTGTATGTTACCTTCCTTGCATTAGAACTTTTAACATCATTGCTAATACTGTCAGTGTAGTCTGCTTAAAATTGGTATATCTTTCATTTTGTCTGTCGAATTTCAAAGTCTCTGCTTCTATATTCAAGTTATTTAAGGTTGCATCTTACAATGTCCATTCTGCATTCATCTGAGTTAAAGGCCCTATTTTATAAAATACTTCAGAAGCATGGCAGGAAAGTCGCCTCTGGACAGAGTTTGATTTGTTTGGGAAAAAAGTAACATGTAGAACTGTAGTTGTATTTTCAAGATACTGTAATGCAAACCTGTAGAAATTACTAGAATAGACTTTCTTTGGATAATAGATGTTTAGGTGGAAGATTCTGCTATTGAAATCCATCAGGGAAAACTACTTCAGTCACTATCTCCAAGTCTCAGCTCCTATGCTTATTTTTATTGAATAATGGCCATATTCCAAAATTTAAAGATTAAGGACAAATTTATCAGGACAAGGTTCATATCTGTTCAATGGAATTCTTGGTGTAATAGCAAAATAGACTGGAAAGGGATACTTTTATTATTTGAAAGGATTTCTTCAAAAGAATATTCATCTGCTTTAGAAACAGTTGCCCTATATTTTATAACCAAAAAGCAATTTAGTTTTATTCTATTTTTAACAGAACAATCTCATAAAAGGGTGTATAAACCAAAATCTACTATACATTCATAGATGTATGTTAGTAAAATAAATTTTAGCACCTGTCATTTTAAATGTTTTGCTTTTTAAATATATTTCTGGTTATTCTTTTGATGAATGTATAATATGTAATCCATTATTTTTAAATAACATTCTGATTTTATCTGATTAAGATTATGTGATATACTCGTATAAAATTTAACATTTATCTGATTAAGGTTATATGTGATATTGTTATTTTACAGAGGCGAATGCCACTAACTTTCCGTGATCCAGCAGCTGCTCCTTTAAGGAAACTGTCTGTGGATTTGATCAAAACATACAAACATATTAATGAGGTAAATTTTGCATAATTTATTGAGTTAACTTTTATTTTGATATAAGTTTATTTATTGTGGCTAGAAAGTGTTTACTAATACTAATATACAAGCTAAATATATAGTCTTAGCTGTTGTTGTAATGCATTTCTTTGGACATTAATTGTTTAATACAAAGAAAACGTTTTCTAAATTTATATTAATAATACAATTACAATACAATTAATGTTGAGTGGAGATATAGTCTTCAAGAGAATACTTACTACTTGAGTAGCATTTTAGAAGAGGAAAAAAGCTGCTTAGAACAATATTTAAAATCTGTTTTCCTTCCTTCCTTCCTCCCTCCCTCCCTCCCTTCTTTATTTTCATATATTGTATGAATGGCTATTGTCTGCTCTTTTTTTCTTCTAATTTTGCATTCTTAAAATTATTTTTTTCTGCTTTGAAATTATTCTTATTGCAAATTTGTTATAGGCAAAATTACTTGTCTGCTAGAAGAAAATAAAAGCTATCTTATTTTATGAATAAAAAGTGGGAGATGCAATAAAATACTATAAGATTGATTTATCCACTTCACTTGAATGACAGATAGTGTTTAGACTTGTTTCTGAGAGGGTAGAAAAACATTCATCACCATAGCAAAGCTTTCTTTCATAGATCATAGCCAATATTCTTATTTGCAAAGCTTTGTAACCCTGGATCTTAGGGATTTCCTTTCTTTTCTCTAAGCCAGGTAGAAAGCAGAAAAATGTTTCTTGCTTGTATCCAGATTCCAGCCATCATAAAGACATTAAATCATTATTGTCTAAAACTGTTCTACAGTCTTCCCCTTCTCTCTGCCATTAAATAATGTCCTTTGTCCAAACACCAATTGGTCAATAATGTAAAAATCAGGACTCTTCTTTATGCAGTGGTTAAAAGTTCAGTATCACTACATAAATAACAGACTCTAAAAATGATATTTTATCCACTCAAGCCCTAAAAATAGATAAGGATAACACAAATGAATCAACGACATTGTACTTGTTCATTGGTATCCAAAGCTACTTTTAGCACAGAGGAGAGCAGTGTTCTTAGTAATAAAATAGAAGACTAATGTCATATAGGTTGAACTATGAATGGATATATTTCTTTGCACCCTTTAAAATTACGTCTGCTTTTGCAAGTTTTGTGCTTCAAGCTTCTTTGATTTACTGAACTTGTATGAAGCTGTTATGTTTCAGCAGCTCCAGATTTGCTTTTAGAGCAGTTGGTCAAAGGCTACTGAAAAATATTCATACTATTGTGTAGGTCCTTTTTAACTGAATAAATTATGCTATAAAATAAAAATGCAACCATCTAATGATTAATATCATCATTTTATTTTTATTCACCATTTTATCATTTTATTACCAATTAAATTATCATTTCAATCTCTTTTGCAATAGTGTATGATACAAACTGGCTATGCAATAATTGCATTTCCTAATCTCAGGTTTACTATGCAAAAAAGAAGCGACGACATCAACAGGGACAAGGAGATGATTCTAGTCACAAAAAAGAGCGGAAGGTTTATAATGATGGATATGATGATGACAACTATGACTATATTGTGAAAAATGGGGAAAAATGGATGGATCGTTATGAAATTGATTCTTTAATAGGCAAAGGCTCATTTGGACAGGTAATGATTGAATAATTTGAATAAAAGCAGCTTAAAGCAATATCCTACCCAAGTCATTTATGGGTGGTTTTGATATACTCTTCACAATCCATTTTGCAATTTTTTTTAGACTATGATGGTGGTGGGGAAGAAAACCCAATTTTTCCATTATACTACCTTGATTTAATGTGTTGATGTGCACAGGTCTGTGTAGAGCTATAGATATTTAATGGATTTGATAGCCAGATAATACATTATACTTCCTAACAGCCTACCAATATATAATGCAACAATATAGTATGCGTATATCATTATAGATACTATTCATTTTAAATTCTGTGTAGATCTGCCCAAAGTCCTATTTCAATTCTTTTTATTTCTGATTAGGCAAGTAGTTTTAACTGTTAGATTTCATGTGATTTGACAAATATAGAATTTTAGAAAACTTTTAATCACTAATTAATTCCAAAAATTTTCAAGTTATTTTCCTCCTTTCAAAAATCTAGACTGTTTCTATCTTCTACACAAATACATATGTGTTAAAGAAGTTCTGTTGCTTATAGAAGGCAATTTATTTCAATAATTGTTTTGTCTTTCTAATTAACATGCAGTTGTATCTATTTTGTGTTTTTCTTTTCTACATTTCTGCATTTACATTTCTACAGGTTGTAAAGGCATATGACCGTGTGGAACAGGAGTGGGTAGCTATTAAAATTATAAAGAACAAGAAGGCTTTCCTAAATCAAGCCCAAATTGAAGTGCGACTTCTTGAGCTTATGAACAAACATGACACAGAAATGAAATATTACATAGGTATTTATCTTTTCAAGAGATAGCTTTTGAGTATCTCAGTTTTTATAATGATCAACCATTATATTTTCATTGTCCTTTTGAGGTTATAATATATTTCCTTTAAAAAAAATCTTCTCAATCTTTGCAAATATCCACTTTTAAGCTATTTAAGGAGCATCATGTAATAATTTCTATAATTTCTTAAACTTTCACCAGTTATGTATTCAATCTGGATCTATTTTTGTACAGTTAGTCTTCATTAGCTCAAATTTTTTTAGATCCTTTTGGGTGTTTTATGCAGAAAGTTACCATTATTCATTACATAAAATAAATGGATCTAAGTTTCTTGCTGAAGCTTTCTATTGATCTTTTTGATTCATGAATGGAACCTTGATGCCTACATATAATAAGAGCCTTTTACGCAATTGTTCATATTTTGATGGTTCATTTCAGATTGTTCTGGTCAGGATGGATTTGATTTAAATCAAGTTGACTTAAATCATGATTTAAATCACTAGTAAAAGGCTTGATTTAAGTCAATTCGATTTAAATCATAATTTTTAAAGAGCAACTGTCATCTCTGTCCTGCATCCGCTCTTCCTATGACCCACTGTTAACTCAACAACAGTCCCATTCACTTTAATGGGATGGATGGTGATGCGGCAGTGACAAAACAAGATGAGGGACCTGCAGGCAGCAGGTGAGTGGATGCCCGCTAACAGGTGCTGCCATGATGGATCTGAAATGACAGGTGCTCTTTAATAATATATTTATAAGCTGCTTAGAAGATTTCACTTTCATTTTTATTGCTTGCCCTTCCTCCTCACATTTAGAGCCTGGTGGTACAGATGCATTTCTCTTCAAACAATCATACAGTTTGTAGTGTACATAGATTTGCAAAACAATGGGATAAAGGAATGTTCCTGAACTTTGTTTTATGATTTATCTCATGGTTACTGTGAAATTGTGTGAATGCAGTGCATGATATCTCAGCCTGCAGAGTTTGGATTCATTGAATGAGTTTACCAGAAATGTAAATATTGCAGAATATACAGCCTCATGCTACATAACTAAGCTCCATTTCATGCTGAATAAACTAAATTATTAATGTATCTTAAATAGAAAACTATCTTTTGATATATGTTTACTCCAAAAGCATTTTATTAAAATAAATTTGCTAAAAATAACATTTTTTTAAAAAAAAATTTAATCATTGATTTTTATCTACCCCGGTTCTAGTTGATATATATTGATTAGAAACAGTTTAATGTTAATAGAAAATTTGCCTTTCTTCCAAATTGTAACTCAGGAACATTACTTATTTTATTTATTTATTTATTTTATTTGGCAGTATTTATATGCTGCCCTTCTCCCGAAGGACTCAGGGCGGCGAACACAGGTTAAAAACATACAATGATAAAATAATAAAATCCCATTAAAACCAAATTAAAATCAATAAATAATAAAACCCAAGAATCAGCATCAGCCCATTCATTGGAATAGCCAAATCTTCAGGCCTCGACAGAAGGAGTGGAGATCCGGGGCCGTCCGGAGCTCGGTGGGTAGTTCGTTCCAAAGGGTAGGGGCGCCCACAGAGAATGCCCTACCCCTGGGCGTCGCCAGATAGCATTGCCTGGTCGACGGTACCCTGAGGAGAGTGGCTCTGTGAGAGCGGACAGGACAGTGAGAAACAGGCAGGAGATGGTCCTGCAAGTACCCTGGGCCTAAGCCATGTAGGGCTTTATAGGTCAATACCAGCACCTTGAAGTGAATCCGGTGGACCACTGGTAACCAGTGCAGCTCGCGCAGGAGAGGTGTTACACGGGAGTAACGAGGAGCTCCGGTAACCACCCGCGCAACTGCATTCTGGACCAGCTGGAGCCCCCGGGTGCACCTCAAGGGCAGCCCCATGTAGAGGGAATTGCAGTAATCCAAGCGGGATGTAACCAGGGCATGAGTGACCATGCGAAGGGCATCACGGTCTATGAAAGGGCACAACTGGCGCACCAGGCGTACCTGTGCAAAAGCCCCCCTGGTCACGGCCATCAAGTGTTCTTCTAAAGACAGCAGGGAATCCAGGAGGACACCCAAGTTGTGGGCCCTTTCAACGGGGGCAAGTACCTCTCTCCCCCCCCCCATCAAAAGTGACGGGACCTCTAGAACGCATGATGCCGGCAACCACAGCCACTCAGTCTTGGAAGGGTTGAGTCTGAGTCTGTTCCTACCCATCCAGACCCGCACCGCCTCCAGGCACCGGGACATCACGGAAAGGGCATCCCCGGGGTGGTCCGGGGTGGAGATGTATAATTGAGTATCATCGGCGTACTGATAACACCTCACCCTGAAACCACAAATGATCTCACCCAGTGGCTTCATATAGATGTTAAAGAGTAGGGGGGAGAGAACTGACCCCTGAGGCACCCCACAAGTTAGGGGCCTCGGGGGGGACCTCTGTTCCCCCGCCCAAACAAACTGCGAGCGACCTGAGAGGTAGGAGGAGAACCACTGTAAAACAGTGCCTCCCATCCCCAACCCCTCAAGCCGCTGCAATAGGATACCATGGTCGATGGTATCAAAAGCCACTGAGAGGTCAAGTAGGACCAGGATGGAGGAACAACCTCCATCCCGGGCCCGCCAGAGATCATTCACCAGAGCGACCAATGCCGTTTCCGTGCTGTGCCCACGCCGGAAACCCGATTGGTACGGGTCTAGGTACCCCGTTTCCTCCAGGAACTGTGGAAGCTGTTGTGCCACCATAGTCTCAATAACCTTCGCAATAAAGCGAATGTTGGAGATGGGCCGATAGTTATTAAGTGAGTCTGGATCCAGGGCAGGCTTCTTGAGGAGGGGTTGAACCACCGCCTCCTTAAGAGAGGCGGGGAAGACCCCCTCCCTCAAAGAAGAGTTGATAATTGCCTGGATCCAGTCTCCGGTCACCTCCCAGGCGGGCGAAACAAGCCAGGAGGGACACAGATCCAGCAAACAAGTGGAGGCACCCAGTCTACCCACAATCCTGTCCACTTCATCGACGGAAACAGGGTCAAACTCAACCCAGATGTTACTCCCAAGACATTCCACAGTCTCCCGGATGGATTCCGCCCAGTCAGAGTCCAAACCAGTCCGGATCTGAGCGATTTTATCTTGCAGAAACTGAACAAAATTCTCAGCCCTGCCCTGTAAGGGGTCAACCCCCGCCCCCTGATTAAGGAGGGAGCGGGTCACTCTAAACAGGGCTGCTGGGCGGTTTTCTGCAGATGCAATGAGAGTGGCGAAGTAATTACGTCTCGCCGCTTCCATCGCCACAAGATAAGCCCTAAAATGGGTTCTTAACTGTGTTTGATCAGATTCAGACCGGGAGGATCTCCAACACTCCTCTAGGCGTCTTTCCCGGCACTTCATTTCCTGGAGCTCCATGGAGAACCAAGGAGTCACCCGGGATCTGCATCGGGTCAGAGGTCGCAAAGATGCAATTCGGTCCAAGGCCCCGGCAGCCGCCCACTCCCAGGATGCCACCAGTGCCTCGGCCAAGTCGCAGGATTGAGAGGCCGGGAATGTCCCAAGCTCCGTCAGGAACCGCTCAGAGTCCATCAGGCACCTGTGGCGGAGCCATTTTACTGGTTCCACCTCCCAGCGGCAAGGGTTGGCGGATTGAAAGTCCAGTCTAAGGAGGGAATGGTCGGTCCATGACAAGGGGGCAATAGAAAGTTCCCCCTTACCCCGGCCATTTATCCACTGCCCAGAGAGAAAAACCAGGTCAAGTGTGTGTCCTCCCCTATGAGTTGGGCCCTGAATAACCTGAGTCAGGCCCATGGCCGCCATGGAGGCCGTGAACTCTCGGACTGTCTCAGATGTCTCGCCGATCGAAGGCAAGTTGAAATCTCTCACAACCCAAAGGCTGGGGAGTTCAACTGCTACTTCGGCCAGCACATCGAGCAGTGCGGGCAGGGTTGTGGCCACGCAGCTGGGAGATAGGTACGTGACCAACAAGCCCGACTGGACTCCAGGGTCCCACTTCAATAGGAGAGACTCACACCTGCCAATCTGAGGGACAGTGGCCTCTCTAGGACTAAGACTTCCCCTAATAACCACCGCCACCCCCCCCCCCCCCCTTCCCTGGAGTCGCGGCCGGTGCAGCACACGAAAACCTGGGGGGGGGCATAAATCAGAGAGAGGGACTCCCCCCTCCTGCCCCAACCAGGTTTCTGTAATGCAAACCAGGTCCGCGCCCTCCTCCTCAATAAGATCTCGTACGAGGAGGGCCTTATTCGCAACGGACCTGGCATTCACATACACCAGTCTGAATCCAGGGTCCCCCGCTCTCGCACCCCTAGGGAAGCAGGATGAGCAGTGGGAGCGGGAACGCGCCACCACCTGAATACAGCGGGTGCGAAGTCCCCGCCCCCTGCTTCCATTCCCTCTGCCCCTCCCCACCATCACAGATATAAAATGTCCCACTCCTCTCTGAGCTTCGTCTTCACCTCCATCCTCATCCATCCCGTCATCCATATACTTCCTTGATAATCATAATAGCGAACTGTTTATAATCAAGTGAATTAACTGAAATTCATTTGATTGTAAACAGTTCACTGTTTAGATTATCAACATATAACAGTTGATATAAGATATAACAGTATTTACCCCATAGTATATTAGCTTTCTCTCATACACTAACTGAATCTACTGATTCAGTCTTTCTGAAGACTCATACACATAATCTCTCATACACTAACTGAATTAACTGGCGATAATACAGTTCTAAATTTTATGAGCAAGTTATGTACTCAGTACCCCCTTCCCCTTGGGACATTTAAAACAAACATTTATGTATATCATTTTATTAAAATAGAAATGATGGCCCAAAAAGCAGGTTCACCAAGAATAATATTGAATAAGCAATCACATTTCTATTAATGCCTTCAACGTGGCACATATGTTTTGTCCTGGTTTTGTTTCTGAATAGTGTAGAAAGATATGAATGAATTAATATGCTTGTCCTTGGATATATTTGTTGAGTTTAATTATTGCAATGGAATCCTGAATCTCCCTAAATGAAGCTCAGATTTTGGCTTGATAGATGACACACTCAGATTATCAGTTTCTCAGATGATCCAGATTCAGTAGGACTAAATTGCTCCAAGTTACATTGAGAAAAACAAAATAATGTGCTATGTATATGTGTTTTCAAAGTTCTAGTCTTCACTTGTAAAACTCAGAAAGGGTTAGTGTCTGTCATATTTAAAACACAACCTTTTTTCATTAAATTACTGCCTGTAATTTAGTCCACCATCAAAAGAAGCTAGACAGAAATATGAGATACTATCTTCCTGATACTTTCTAAGGTTAGACTAGCCTTTTCTTTATTTAATATATTTTGAAAAATATTATTTCCCCCCAAATATGACATCTGATTGTTTTTACCTAAGCTCCTCATTTTTAGGAGCATTTTCATGCCTTAATTTTACAATTAGTATTTTAATTGTAAGACATGTTAAGGAAGTAGATACTCAGATTATTTCTTTAACAGTGAAGGAGTAGATGAAACTATCAAAACATCAAGAGACACTAAGGCAATATAGGCATTTTTAAAACACTTATAATTATGAAATTATAAAAAGTAGTTTTTTCTGAACTAATGGTAGTTCTGTAACTAAAGTTAACTTTATGTAATTCAGAATGATCTAATTACTCTGCTGTGCATTCTGTTGCAGAATGAAATATAATGTATAAGAGCAATTCTAAAGCAACACTAATGAAATTTGCTTTTAAAGTTAATATAAATGTAAGAAATTTGGAAAGAATTTTGTAACAAATTAAATGAAAATATAAAGATACGATAGAAATATAGTAAGATGATGGGGACGAAGTAGAGGACACAAAATATGTACTCAGATGACACACTGAATGATTAATGATGTATTGTTTGTTTAAAAAAAGAAATTTGCTTTTACATATGTACTTGAATCTAGACAAGAAATTAAAGGCACACATTCTCTTCGTAATGGCAGCAGTATATTTCTTCTTTAGTTGTTGCATTTAGCTCAATCAAATTTTAGTCTAATTTCAAATAGTTTAAGAAGAAAGGTTGAAGCCTCAAGCATAGGAAGTCTATAAATGAAGGAATATAGTTCGTTTTAGAAAAAGTAAGTGCCACCATTTTAATTTTAGCATCATGTGATTTTCAAAGAAAGAAATTACCTATAACTTTTTTTCAAAAGGAAGTTTTTGTGTATGAATATAGAAAAGTAAAAGGATAGTTGTACTTTAAAAAAGAGTTTGGCAGACTTTTGGGCAACCTTTGGAAACAATAGCTTCCTTAGGGAGATACTTAAAGGTTTGAGACTATACCTGTAATTTAACACCTCCCCCTTCTTTTTTCTTTCAGTGCATTTGAAGCGTCACTTTATGTTCCGAAACCATCTCTGTTTAGTTTTTGAAATGCTCTCCTATAATCTTTATGACCTTCTGCGGAATACAAATTTCAGAGGGGTTTCATTGAACTTGACGCGAAAGTTTGCACAACAGATGTGTACTGCACTGCTTTTTCTTGCAACTCCTGAACTTAGTATCATTCACTGTGATCTAAAACCCGAAAACATCTTGCTGTGTAACCCCAAACGAAGCGCTATCAAAATAGTTGATTTTGGCAGTTCTTGCCAGCTTGGACAGAGGGTAAGTATTACCACATCAACATATTTCAGTATTACTTGTTGTTTTGTTTTGTTTTGATTTTAAATAAATCAGCATACTCCAAAAATAATTTTATATGTTCCTAATTACTACATAAGGACAAAATAAGCAAAATGTTTTTAGTGATAAGGGGACTACCCATATTTCTGCATGTTTCCTAACTAAGCATTCAGAACGTATAGTATATGTGTATGCAAAATGTATACATTTTACATATGCAAAATGTAACTAACTATTTTTCCGCTCTTATCGCATCGGCAGATAACCGCCCAGCCGCCCTGTTTAGGGTGACCCGCTCCCTCCTCCATCTGGGAGCGCGGGAGGATCCCTTGCAGGGTCGTGCTGAGGATTTTGTTCAGTATCTGCACGATAAAATCACTCAGATTCGGGAAGGCTTGGTCTCTGACTGGGTAGGTACAGACGGGATGATGGGTGCCGGTCTTGGGACTGCCATTTGGGAGGAGTTCGACCCTGTTGCTCCCGAGGACGTGGACAGGATACTGGGGCAGCTGAACGCGACCACATGTTTATTGGGCCCGTGTCCCTCCTGGTTGGTGCTGGCCTCCCAGGAGGTTACGCGAGGCTGGCTCCAGGGGATTATCAACGCTTCCTTGAGTGAGGGTGTCTTGCCATCCGCCTTGAAAGAGGTGGTGGTGAGGCCCCTCCTCAAGAAGCCTGCTCTGGATCCAGCTGTTTTGGCTAACTACCGTCCGGTCTCCAACCTTCCCTTCTTGGCGAAGGTTGTTGAGAGTGTGGTGGCGCGACAGCTTCCTGGGTACCTGGATGAAGCTGTCTATCTTGATCCGCTCCAGTCCGGCTTCAGGCCTGGGCACAGCACGGAAACGACATTGGTCGCGTTGTTGGATGATCTCTGGAGGGCTCGGGATAGGGGCTGCTCCTCTACCCTGGTCCCATTAGATCTCTCAGCGGCTTTTGATACCATCGACCATGGTATCCTGCTGCGCCGGTTAGAGGGGTTGGGAGTGGGGGGCACTGTCCTGCGGTGGTTCTCCTCCTATCTCTCCGACCGGTCGCAGTCAGTGTTGGCAGGGGGGCAGAGGTTGACCCCGAGGTGCCTTGTTTGTGGGGTGCCGCAGGGGTCGGTCCTCTCGCCCCTTCTGTTCAACATTTATGTGAAGCCGCTGGGTGTGATCATCCGTGGCTTTGGGGTGGAGTTCCATCAGTACGCTGATGATACTCAGCTGTACATCTCCACCCCAGGCCATCCCAACAATGCCCTTGAAGTGATGTCCCGGTGCCTGGAGGCCGTGCGGACCTGGATGGGGAGTAACAGGCTTCGACTCAACCCTTCCAAGACAGAGTGGCTGTGGCTTCCGGCATCCTGATATAGCCAGCTGGTGCCATCGCTGGCTATTGGGGGCGAGTTATTGGCCCCCACAGATAGGGCTCGCAACTTGGGTGTCCTCCTGGATGCATGGCTGTCTTTAGAAGAGCATATGACGGACGTGGCCAGGGGGGGCTTTTTATCAGGTTCGCCTGATTCGCCAGTTGCGTCCCTTTCTGGATCGGGACTCCTTACGCACAGTTACTCAGGCGCTCATCACTTCCTGCCTGGACTACTGCAATGCTCTCTACATGGGGCTCCCCTTGAGGAGCACCCGGAGGCTCCAACTGGTGCAGAATGTGGCCGCGCGGGGGATTATGGGAGCGAGGGGGCGCTCCCATGTGACACCTCTCCTGCGTGAGCTGCATTGGCTTCCAGTGTTCTGCCGGGTGCGCTTCAAGGTGTTGGTCACCACCTTTAAAGTGCTCCATGGCATAGGACCTGGGTATTTGCGGGACCGCCTTCTGCCGCCAATAGCCTCCCACCGACCAGTACGCTCCCACAAAGAGGGACTCCTCAGGGTGCCGTCAGCCAGGCAATGTTGGCTGGCGACCCCCAGGGGGAGGGCCTTCTCTGTGGCATCTCCTGCCCTCTGGAACGATTTTCCCCTGGAGATACGAAGGATATCAGATCCCCGGGTTTTTCGCCGTGCCCTAAAAACCTTTCTTTTCCATCAAGCAGGGCTGGCGTGAACCCCCCCCCCCCCCCGCCGCCTTTTTAGCTTTTTTTAGCCTTTTAAATTGTCAAATGGGTTTTAGTTGAAGGTTTAAATTTTGGGCCACAGTTATATAATTCTTTTAATAATTTTAAATTTTGTATTGGTATGTGTTTTAGTTCTGGCTGTGCACCGCCCTGAGTCCACTAGGAGAAGGACGGGATATAAATTGAATAATATATATATATATCCATGTGGCTGCAGTCTCCATAGTAGTAAATGATAATTCTGTTTGCAGTAGTGCACAGTTAAACTGTTGAACTCTTTACTAAATCTTAGCCAGAATGTTAGATTTGCATTTAAATAACATAAAATAAAATAAAAACAAAAACATATATTTGCCGGTGCAGAGTTTTGATGGCTCAAATAGCAGAGTAATTCTGTTTCAGAAAGCAGAAGGACACAGTTTTGTTTTTGTTTTTAAGGTTTCTTGAAGTTAAAACATCAAGAAAAAATATCCCAAAGAGGTCACAGCAAACCACTTTCATATTGTCAAGAAAATATATAGATGTGGAGTCCTTATTGCTCTCTGGGGTTGATTGTTTGCTTGTAGAAGTTTCATTACCCAATTAAGCAATATCATCAGTGCTAGTGAGTGTAAGATTTGTTTATGTACAGTATCTTGCCCTGCCAATATTGGTGTGGGTATGATTTTTTCCTTTGTAAATCCTCGAGTATAGTTTTCTAGTTGATCGTTTGCCTGATATATTCCTTGATTATCTGAGTGTTGGTTGCTGGAGAGGATGTGTTCTAGTCTTTTTGTTTCCTACTGTACATAAACAGGGAGCAAATTCCACACTTATTTAACATTGATGATGTTATCTACTTGGGTATTAAAATGCCTGGAAGCAAACAGCTCCATAGTTCAACCTTGAGTTAAATAGATTCTCTTTTATTGAAATATATAGATATGTCCCTGTATCACCTGAAGTTGAACTCTGCTTGAAGGAGGCTTATTTTATTACGTTGTTTAGAATCTAGTAGCAAATTTATATTATAGTTTTTATAGTATAATTCTACATGTCAGGCACAAGCAATCAGATCTACATGTGAAGGGTTGAATCCTTATTGCATCCTATCTATAATATAAGAATCTCTCCAGACTGCTTGCTCTCTCTTGGGAAAGAACAGATAAGGTTCCATGGAACGTGTGTGATGGTGTGTGTGTGTGTCAGAGAGAGAGGGAGAGGAGAGCATCCAAGCTGTGCAATGACTTCAGATTAACCCCTGCTTGATCCCTCCTCCTTTCCTGGTTGGTAGCTTCCCAACATCATATGAATCTTTCACAAATAAGGAAACAGAATTGCAGTCTATGAAGCAAAGTATTGTTAACATTTTCTGCTGCATAATTGCATATTTAACTTTAACCTTCTTTTTTTTTTTTTATTGAAAAAGTTTTCAAATACAAATTTCCCCCCCTTTTTTTCCCCCTCACCCTCCCCCTCCCTAACCCCCCTCCCCACCCATCCCCCCCTGTGACTTCTTCATAACAAAAAAAAACCTAATTCATAACAGATTACTTACTCCCTCCTCTAAATATTGACCTTTACTTACTAAAAATATTATTAATATTATAACATCCCCCTTTATCCATACATTTCTGAAAAGAGAAAAGAAAGGGGAAAAAAAAAGACATTATACTATAACATTATAGAATAACTTCTCCACTTAACTATACGATAAGTCCTACTTTAACATTTAATCTTCCATATATATTACTATAACATTTCAAAGCGGCCTTCCCCATAAAATCTAGTTTAACATTTATTCCACTCTATCCATTTCCTCCACTCCCCTAAATATATCACTTAAAAATCCCTTTTCTTAGACTAATCAATCTACTAACTAGCTTATTCACCCACTATCATGCAAAATTACCATACACAACATTTCTTAATATCTTTGATTCACTGCCCACACTACTTAAAAATATATGTCTATATTTTCCATTATATCTAAATAAAAAAAAAAAAAAGACAATGACTTTAAATTTATAATCCATATAGTGTCTTCTTTGAGGTCTTTCCACTGGATTGGTAGAACCAACATCCATAATCGGGTAACATAGCTTGCTGGTGCAACAGTTTATTCAGGATCTTCAATCATATCTGCCCCCATCAGTAGTAAATATCTTCTTATATGTATAAAAGTAAAAAACAACCACCCGAGTGACATTATAATTATATTCCATATAGTAATAATTATGGGTTTCATCAGGATTATTAATTCCCATCATCGTAGTGGGTAACAACCCGATCTTCTGCATGCCCCAGCATAATTCTCTTGCCTTGTGATTCAAGATAATATAATATGTTTATCAACACAAAAAGAAATTCCAAAGTGGATAATTCAAATCCATCAGGTTAAGGCTCGTTTCACGTCCCCAAATTACGGCCATGCAGATCTGCCACAATCCTCAGGATGATATTAACCAATACGTCGCCTCTTCCATGTTTACACATAATCATTCATATTTTAAAGTCACTGGCTTCACTGTTGCCTGATTTAGAAATTTCTATTTTTATGCCACCTATTTCTTTTTTTTTTTCTTTTTTTTTTGTGGGTTTGGTTTCCATCCTGGTTTCCTTTCTACAAATTGTGTATCATCTGGTCGGTTTTTATTCTGCTTTGTAGATTGGTCTTGCTGGTTTTGTTTTTGTATCTCATGTTTCTTTTTTATCCCTTGTATATCCCCTAATTGGTTTCCATGCTTATCCTTGCCTTGATAAGTCATCACATTAAGGTTAGATGCCACTTCTCTCAAATTTGTAGATAGTCCAGCTGGGGTATCCAATAAATCCAAAGGCAATTCATCTGGTACAGTCTCTGTAATTCGATATTTTACCTTTATTTCCGGCTCCTTCTGCTTATCCTGTATTATACCTGAAGATGTTAAGTTCATTTTCAACCTATTTTGATAAAATTCTTCCGCTCTTTCAACAGTATTTAGCTGATATCTTTCTCCTTGGTATCTAAATATAATACCAACTGGGGCGTCCCACCTGAATGGAATATTTCTCTTTTTTAACTCAATTACCAGAAAACCAAATTTCTTCCTTTCCATCAATATCTTAGGTGGGAGTTCCTTGTAAATCCAAATCTTTCTTCCATACAATTGCAAATTAGAATTGAAGGAATTTTGCACGATATTATTCCTAATTTCTTTGTCTGTAAAATAAATCACCACATCTCTAGGCAATTGCCTTTGCTTGGCAATCCAGGAGTTAATTCGATAAACTCTGTCAATCCTACAAAACACTTCGTCAGGTTGAACCTTTAGAATCCCAGCTAGAAATTCAGAAGATATTTTCCTTAAATCCTATTATTTTCCTGCAAACCTCTTAATCTTATCGCATATTCTGTGAAATTATATTATACCATTAAAATCTCTTTTTCAATCTTCTGTTGCAGATTTTCTGCATTACCATACTTTTGATCAGCATCCATTTTAGGTTTTTCTTCTAAGCTATTATCCTGAGTGTTTGTCAAATCATTTTCAATTTTTTGAATTCTATTGTCCAATTTATCTTGAATTTCTTCCATTTTAGACTCTAGTACATTAGTATTTGTGTCCAACTGTATCATAAATTCTGTAAAACCATTAGCCACTTTTGAGAGTTTTTTCTCCAAAAAATCAAACTTAGATTTCACCAATTCTTTAATTTCCTGCTTAAATTTTTCAAGTTGCTGATTCACAATCTCCTCCCTTCTTTCAATCTCCTCTATAAAAAATTCTATTATATTAAAATCAGGTTTCTGAGACTGAAGAGTTAAGACTTGTTCCTTTAAGTTGTTGGTGGGAGAATCCCCCCCCTTCTTGTTTATCTGACTTTATGAGTCTCAGTGCCATGTTTCCGCCCAGGCAGGCTTTGTTAAAAAAAAAAGCAAGAAAGACTTCTTTCCAATCAACAACAATATCAGGTCTCCAAGGGAAAAAAAAGGAGAAAAAGACACAGGAGCGAAGTTTTGTCTACAAATGTAGCCAGTGGTATTTATTCCGCTACATTGTAGTAATAAAAAACGGAAGGACTTTCCCTTTCAGCCTCTCCTCCAGCCGACGCCATTTTAAAAGGCTTTTTTCCCTCTTTCTTTTCCTCCTCTCTCTTAAGTAATTTTTTTTTAAAAAAATCAGTAAAATACTTGCGGTTCAGTATTACAGGTACAGCTCACATTTTCTTTGAGTAGTCTGTTAAATTTGCAGGCTTGCTTTTGACGCCTGGCTCTGCATCAGCAGAGGTCTCCCAAAGCCCGGAGCGGCGGCTGGGGATGCGGGGCATCTCATCCGCTCCGTCCCAAAAGTAAAGGAAAAACTTTTGGGACTCCGCAGAGAGTTCTACCCACCCCTGCCGGCTCTATCTCCGTTTCCTCATGGAAACGGAGTTTTTTCGAGCCGCCATTCCATTGTGAAAGCGGCTCTGACAGGCGATGGAAGCTGACGATCCCAAAGGAACGTCTGGCAGCGACAAACAGCAAACCGGAAGTCAACTTTAACCTTCTTTAATTACCAAGTTTTGTAGTATTTAAAATTTTTTCTCTCCTTATTTTGTATTTCAAACAAATTATGTGCAATATAGAATCATTACTTTCTAACTAGATTTTTGGGGATTATTTAATGTCTTTGTTTATAAAATGCAGATATATCAATATATCCAGAGTCGCTTTTATCGATCACCTGAGGTGCTATTGGGAATGCCTTATGATCTTGCAATTGATATGTGGTCCCTTGGTTGTATCTTAGTGGAAATGCACACTGGAGAACCTCTTTTCAGTGGAGCAAATGAGGTATGTTAATATTCATATGAATTTTTATTATGTTGAGTTGCCTATTTCTTAAGTTTTAAATATTTGGTTACGCTTCTAATTGGTTTTCCTCATTTGAAACAGGTTGATCAGATGAATAAAATAGTGGAAGTTTTGGGTATACCACCTGCTCATATTCTTGACCAAGCACCAAAAGCAAAAAAGTTTTTTGAGAAGTTGCCAGATGGCTCTTGGACCTTAAAAAAGACCAAAGATGGGAAAAGGGTAAATAGATATTTTGATCTTTGATCTATATTAATCTGTTTGTAACTATGCTAGCTCTCTTGGCTACGAAACAGAGATGAACACTGTTCATTAGAATCAGAATCAACTGGAGAGGGGAAACATTTACTTTTGCTAATCCTGATTTAAATGAGAACAATTTTCCTACATAGAGAAATTATTAATTTCTATAATTAATTATTAATATTTTCTACTACTAGGAAATGTAATAGTAAAATAAATGGCAAGCATACATTGGTTTTCAGTCCAAAAATATTTCACTTTAGAACATTGTCAGAAATAAACTATGCAATAATTGTAATTATTTACTCTACAGCTTTTACTAAGAAGAATAAAAACAAAAGTTAAAAAATATAAAAATGATCTGGCATCCTAAACCCTGAAGGGAGCTATATTAGTTTAGAGCAGTGATGGCGAACCTTTTCGGCACCGAGTGTCCAAACCGGAATACGCGCGCCAGAGTACCGGAAACCCAAAGAGCACCTGGCTGGTGCGCATGTGCACGCCAGCCAGCTGGTCTTCACATGCGCCAGAGCGCTGGAAACCCAAAGACCAGGTGGCCGATGCGCACCGGCCAGCTGGTCTTCAGGTTTCCGGTGTGCGTGAAGACCACACCAGAAACCAGAAGAGCAGCTGGCGATAGCGCACCTGCCCACAGAGAGGGCTCTGCATGCCACTGATTCGCCATCACGGGTTTAGAGTTTAAGACACTGGACAACGTAGGCACATTCTCTCTCCATCCCTCTCTCTCTCTCTCTCTCTCTCTCTCTCTCTCTCTCTCTCTCTCTCTCTCTCTCTCACACACACACACACACACACACTTTTGGAAGTTGAACTCACATACTATAAACTTTCTAAACTGGGGAAATTGTAGAGAAATGGTGTTGTAAGCTACTCAGCATTACTTTTTTTGTGTTATTTTATATTTATTTCTAAATTTATTGGGTCCTCATCTTACCACAGGATAACTGTGGCATATAAATTTAATAAATAAATAAAATATTCATAGGGGAATAGTTTATAAGCATTGATATCTGATCTCTGAGTGGCTGTTGTAATACATAGATGAAATATTAATCTACTGTCATGGCATGTGGAAATGACCTTCAGAGATGCAAGGAAAGTTGATATCTAAGGAAGATCGAACAAGATAAGGAGGCTTAACAGTCAGAGAAAGAAACATGCCCTAGTTCGGTCAAAAGAGGCAAAAGATTTATACTTGCAGATTTGCAAATTTGATGTCTACCCTCCCACGTACTTTTAACAGCCTTATTTTGGGGGTGGGGGCACTAGGGTTAGGATCAAATAAGTTTATTTGACCATTAAGCCACACTGGTTTCTCTGGTTTTCTTTTAAAGTAAATGAATATTGTTAATAACTGTAAAGGTTTCAGAAGTGACTTGCCATTATCATCTTCCTAGAGCTGAGAAAGAGTGACTGGCCCAAGGTCATCTAATTGGCTTTGTATTTAAGGCGGGACTAGAACTCAAGGTCTCTCAGTTTCTACCCTGATGCCTTAATCTGTACACTAAACTAGCTCTGAAGATTTCAGGGACCCATCCAGGGGTCATCAGGAGTCAAAAACAAAAACCAACAACCACATCGAAAACCAAAATACCCCAAATCAAGGGTAGTTTTTTTTAAAAAAACAACAACAACTGGAAGTATTTATATTGTTAGAAAACTGATCTGAAATAATAAAAATGTAAATAATTTCTAATTTTCTAACAGGAGTATAAACCACCTGGAACCCGTAAACTTCACAATATACTTGGAGTTGAAACAGGAGGACCAGGAGGGCGTCGTGCTGGGGAGTCGGGTCATACTGTAGCTGACTACTTGAAGTTTAAAGACCTCATCTTAAGGATGCTTGATTATGATCCAAAAACCCGAATTCAACCTTATTATGCTCTGCAGCATAGTTTCTTTAAGAAAACAGCAGATGAAGGTACAAACACAAGTAACAGTGTCTCTACAAGTCCTGCTATGGAGCAGTCGCAGTCTTCAGGAACCACTTCTAGCACATCTTCAAGCTCAGGTACACTCGTGATTCCTACAACATTTTGGAAATGAAGTCATTGGAAGAATATTTACTATATATATAAAAATGTTTTTATATTATTTTAAATCTGGCTCTCTCCTTTTTAAAATACTTTTTTTCCTTTGTAATGAACTTATTTATTATGCTTTCCTGTTGTCACATCAAAATTACTGATTATATCATCTTCAGCGTATCTGTTTTGCTTATGATTAAAGGTGGCTCTTCGGGGACAAGCAACAGTGGAAGAGCACGGTCAGATCCAACACACCAGCATCGACATAGTGGTGGACACTTCACTGCTGCTGTACAAGCTATGGATTGTGAAACGCACAGTCCTCAGGTAGTTTTCAAAGGAAGTTTCTGTTAACTAATTATTGGTATGCTTAAATAAACAAATAGTTCTGCTCTGTGATGACACTACAGCCGTGATGGCGAACCTATGGCATGGGTGCCACAGGTGGTACGCGTAGCCATATTGGTGGGCACGCGAGCTCAGCTCCGGCCCGCATGCATGTGCCGGCCGGCTGATTTTTCAGACCTTTTGAGCCCACCAGAAGTAGCGAAACAGGCTGTTTTCTGCCTCCAGAGGACCTGGAGGGTGGGGAGGCCAGCTTTTCTCTCTCCCCAGCCTCCAAAGCCTTTCTAGGAGTCTGGGGAGGGTGAAAACGGCCTCCACACCCCACACCCCCACCCCCGGAGGCCAGAAATGGTCCATTTGCTAACTTTCCTAGAAAGGCTCTGGAGCTGGGGACAGCAAAAAACGGGCCTACTGTGCCATCATGTGTCCAGAGTGGGGGGGTGCGCGCGGGGCAGGACGCATAGAATTGTGTAGGCACGTGTGCGCGCGCCTCCTCCCCCCCACTCCTGGCACGCAATGACAAAAAGGTTACCCATCACTGCACTACAGTAACAATCTTTTACCAATTCTGCAACCATTATTTTATCATTCAGATAATTATTTGATAATTATTAAAACCAAAATAATTGCCAATAGTTAACTAATGTCAAGCTAATAGTTCCTTCTAAATCACATTACTAAAATTGTTTGAACAGTTAAATTATGCATATTTGATAACCGGGTCTAAGAACTTTTGTAATACCGCAGGAGATAGATACTAATAAGTAATGGTCATGTTTCATTTTTTTAAAGTTTTAAGTTATATTTTTGGCAAGAGATAAATCAAGTTCAGTGTAGTACAAACCTAAGTCTGCTTTGTTTAGATTTTATGACATAAAATAACTTAACCCCTCCTTTGTGTGTGTGTGTGTGTGTGTGTGTGTGTGTTTGTATGTATTGTTGTTATAGGTTCGACAGCAGTTTCCTCCTCCTCTTGGTTGGCCAGGAACTGAAGCTCCTACACAAGTCACTGTTGAAACCCATCCAGTTCAAGAAACCTCTTTCCATGTTACTCCTCAGCAACAAAATGCATTACACCATCATCATGGAAATAATTCCCACCACCACCATCACCACCACCATCATCACCACCATCATCATGGACAGCAGGCCTTGGGTAATCGGACCAGGCCAAGGGTCTACAATTCTCCAACAAACAGCTCGTCCACCCAAGATTCCATGGAGGTGGGCCATGGTCACCACTCCATGACATCCCTGTCTTCCTCAACAACTTCTTCCTCTACATCTTCCTCCTCAACTGGTAATCAAGGCAATCAGGCCTATCAGAACCGCCCTGTGGCTGCTAACGCGTTAGACTTTGGACAAAATGGAGCTATGGACGTCAATTTAACGGTCTATTCTAATCCACACCAAGAAACTGGCATAGCAGGACATCCAACGTACCAGTTTTCTGCTAACACAGGTCCTGCTCATTACATGACTGAAGGACATCTTACAATGAGACAGGGAATTGATAGGGAAGAATCTCCCATGACAGGAGTTTGTGTTCAGCAAAGTCCTGTGGCCAGCTCGTGACTAAACTGAAACAGATTTGTTTCTTGTGTGTTTTTATAGAAGTGGTGTTTTTCCAAAAAAAAAAAAAAAAAAAAAGTGCAAAGCTGCTTGAATCAGGAGGAGATAGACTTATTGAACCGCTACAGAAGGGCAAAGCTAACTATTTTTTTAAACTTGAACAGATTGCAGTGAAGTTTTTAGAGCCATGTTCATACCTATCCTAGATAGCTTTGAGAAGATTTCTCACCTTTTTGCCCGTTTTAATTACTACAACCAAGTCACATATATATTTTTCCCCTTGTTCAACAGAATGAATATTCAAGAGTTGATCTTAGTTGCAAGCATATTTTAAGGCATGCCCAGAATCATATAAATGGGCATTTTGAGGTTTTTCTTTCTTTCTTTTTTTAATATTAAGGGGGGAGGGGTGGGGAGTAATAATGAATTTCCATTCCCCAAACATACATGAACACAAAAAGCAGTACTGTAAGGAAGAGGGACCCTAAGATTACAAAACAGAATCTTTAGCTGTAAAAAGGATGGTTGTAATGGTATTCATGAGACACATTAAGCATGCTAAGTGGCGGTGATTAAGACTCCTTATCTGAACCTATTGAGAATCAAAGCAGCAATTATATTGGGATTCTGTGTCTCATGTTTGAGGCTACAATCAGTTAGTATTGAAATAAGACTGGTCCTGTAAGTAAGGTGCACTGAGAAGCAATCAACAGGTTGGTCTTGACCAGTCCAGGGGAAGTCTTAAGTGGTGGTCTTTGGGATAACCTTTGGCCTTATGGATTTGGACTCTAAGTTAGAAGAGCCTACCATTTCAGATGCAATCACTTTTGGACATGTTTTTGCAGACAGTCCTTAATGCTGAAAACACAGAGAATGGGTAATTCAAGAGGCCTTTCTTTTAAAATAGACTTTGTGACCCACTTATTGTAAGGTATTGCAAGGTCACTTTGCGTGTGTCATAAAGCTGACTTCCTTATTGGTTGAAGGTCACAGGAGTAGTGGTTTGCTTTTGATGAAAATAGCTACAACTGTGTTCCTCTCTGCTTTTCACTTTCTTTTTTTCCTTTCCTTCCTATGTCTTCTTCCTCTTTTTGCTTTTTCTGGGCACGTGGTTTCTCCACTGTTACTTCTGCACAAAGATGTCTTCTGTTCAACCTGAACATTTTTAAAAATGCAGAATTTTATGTGACTGCTTTTTTGCCTCACAATTATGCTGTGAATTTTACAAATTTTTTTTCTTTTTTGATAATTTATTGTACCAAAGCTGTTTTTATAGCACATAGATGTCTGTAACCAATAATGTAGCAGTTCTGCACTTTGACACAAGGTGTAACTAGACCATTTTTAAATGTCAGTTGAAAATTATGGCTGTACTATTGCTTAAACAAAACTGGAACTGTTGTTTATTCATAGCCAATACATTTACAACAGTCTGTGTATTGAACATGATAGATAGGACATCTAATTCAACACTATAACATCTGTTACATTATAAACGTGTTAAAGCTTCTGAAAGTAAAAGGGACAGTAAAGCCAGAAGCTATGAAACCAGCAGTTAATTTGTTATACCCCTTATTAGCATAAATGTAAACCTGAAGGCAAGACCTTGATTGCATGAACAGATCCAAAACACTAAGATGAGTGAAATAATTAAAAAAAAAGGCTCAAGTGAAATCTGAGGCTGAGTAGGCTGTACTTAACAGGAGGTCTGCTGCCTTAATTTAACATAATCAGCATGGCAGTTGGCTAAATTTCAGAACCCTTTTGAAGATTTTTGAAATTACGAATACGAACATTGTGAATAAAATAGAGGAATTGGGGTAATAAAGTGGTTATCTTTCCAGATTAACACTGTTTTGCCCTTTACATGAACAGAAGCAGTAATCTACCTCTGCCAGTAAACCAGTTTAAAAGGCCATTCAACAAGATACCGTGCACTTCAGACTGGTTAGTCCTTATAGCAAACTAGGTCGGTTCTTCTGAACAAATTTTTTTCTTTCTTTTTTATAATCATTCCTTATATTGGCAAAAGAGAGGCTGAATGCAGTGGAAGTATGAAAGAATGCTTTAGAAATAAGGAGTTTTTGTAAAGCAACTTTTTTATCAAGGTATCCATATTTATTTTATATTGCGATCTCAAGCCTGTGAATTGATGTTTTTGAACTTCTGCAGTTCAAAAATGTTTGCTGGGCAAAAGGCTGTCGTCACAACAATGGAGCATTGAGCTTAGCAATACAAAACAGAATCCAATATGTACTGCTGTCTAGGAATATAAGGGTAACAAATATGGGTAATTTTTCTTGTGCTGGTTGCCATACCTTAACAAGCACCAAAAATACTGTTTTAAAATTTACATAAAGAAAAATCATAAACTCCAGTGCTTCTGCATACTGTGTTATGTTACAGTCCAGTTTTGTGTGCTTTACTACACAGTTTGGTTACAGGACTTCTGTGCATTGTAAACATAAACAGCATGGAAAAGGTTAAATACCTGTGTTCAGATTGTAAGATCTAGTCCGGACTTGCTGTGTATATTGTAACGTTAAATGAAAAGACAAGCCCTTTGTATTATAGTCATGCAGTCTTATGTATGATAAACAGTTGAATAATTTGTCCTCAGACTCTTTACTGTGCTTTAAAAAAATAACTTAAGATAAAATGTAAACATAGTAAAATCTTCCTATGCAATTAACCTACTTCAAGGCCTGGTCTGCTAGGTATGATTATAGTAACGTGTAAATATTAGAAACATTTGAGACAGATTTTAAGAATATGGAAGTAAAACTTGGAGGTGTAATATATTATTTTGAGTTTTTAATTCAAATAGCAAGACATTTTTTTTGAAATGCCCACACCTCTTCTCTGTTTTATTCTGACTGTAAAGCATAATTTTTAGTTTTTAATTGTATACATTTTTACATTAAGTACTTTTCATATATTTCTTTTATTTATATAGTGCCTAAACAAGAGTGATCTCACAGCTGTACAAACTGTAAAACAGTTCTGATACTGCCAACAAGCTTACAAACCAGCCACAGCACTACAGGAATGTACTTCCCCAAACTAAGTTCAAGTATTAAATTAGAAATACATTTTTGAAAAAAAGATACATTTAGAACTTCTTAATCCATTCATCATGATTTTCTTTGGTTTTTAAAATTGATGATCCTTTTTCACTTGATACCTCATTATGAGGTAATGTGCAGGGACGTATTGTACTGCATCATTGTATTGTTTATGGCTGTGAGAAGCTGTTAAACCAAAAGTCAAAACATGCTTGTTCAGTCTCTTGTATGCAATGTTCAGAAAATGGGCCATGCACATTGTCAGTATTCCATATTTAATCAGGAACAAAGATTAAGAACAAAATTCGGCCCCATACAGGACCAAATTCTGTTCTTACCTGGAGCACTTGGCAAAGAAATCAATAGAGCTCTAGCTCCCTCAATTGCCTGCTATAGTATGTATGGATATTGCTGCAAGAAGCAAGTACATTCTTCATGAAACCCTTCTTCTTCTCTATGTAGTATGTGGGTAGCAAGAAGAGAAGGGTAGAACATAACTATGGTGAGGCTGTTTGTAGGCTTTCCATGCAAATATACTTGCATGGGCTTATCTTTACAAAACAGGGTCTAAACTAATAAATAATGCAAAATTTATCACGAATAATTGGGTTTTAGCCTAATTTCTTCTAAAATGTTAAAAATGTGAAATGGCGGTTATCCTTTTTTAGGGTAAAAGGCTTTATACCAATGGTTTATATTTCAGTTATTCACTATGCCCAAATAACTTTTTAAAAGTAATATATGTTATGACAGGTTTTAATGTAAGTCTGCACAATACATTACTTTGTATGTCCAGGTTTGCACACACAAAGGATTGATGAAACCACATGAGGATCGATCATAGTCAGTTGATGTATTACTGTTGCAAGGTTATCAACCAGTTTACATTTTTGTCACATGCAGATGGGGGGTGGTCACAAAAAGTAGCTGATGGAATTCAGTTTAACTTTTGTTCTATAGCAGTTTCCCATTATTGTTTTAAATGTAAATAACTGATAACATTCAGATAGGATTGACCTGAAACTGCACCTATTTGAACACAGGGAAAAAAACACTTTGTAAAAGTCCTTCAGTAAATTGAGGACAAAGAAGAAGCCATAAGAACTGGAAGAGTTTGCAGAAGTGCAAATTCTGCAATTTTGCCTGTTTTTATTCACATTGTTTAAGGAAGGAGGAGTTAATTATTTCTTGCCCCAATCAAGACTACTGGTAATGAAATTAAATGCTGTGTTTGCAGCATAATCTGACTCCTTGAAGACTGGTTTAAATCCTGAAATTTAAGAATGGCTGAGTTCACATGACAATGATTGAAAATGCAACGTATTTGTTGTTGTTGTGTTCATTCAAGTCTGATTTGAACCTTTGGGTTATGCATCGGCACAGAAGCCTGTTCTGAATCTGCTAAAATTTATAATATTTTTTGGACTATGCATTGCTACTACTGAGCTTCCAATCTGTTTTTAGCCTGTACAGTGTTAACACTTTGACCTAAAGTAGAATAGTCTTTCTGATTTTCTTTGGATTTTTTCTTCCTTCCAATTCTTTGAAACTGCTTTAAATTGTTAGGACACCTTGTTTGCACAGATGAAGCACTCCCTTTTGATGGGCATAAATGGTTTTTTCTTAGCTTGATGAAGGTCATCAATTTTGTTTAAGTAAGGCTGCAAAGCAGGTACATCATAATTGATCTCATTTGACAGTTGCACTGGGAATAAGCTTTCCAGGAAAGGGTGGGGAGGTGTAAATTCCAATGGTTATTGCATCTCTGTCTGATAAAATTATTTCCTGCCTGCAGAGGAGCCTCATTTTTTTTTACTTTACCTACGTAAGCTGAGAGTTCAAAGATTCTCTGGAATTCCACATGAGACCAGAAGGTCTGATTTCAACTAGCCTTGAGAAGTTGTGGTCTTCTGCAATTCCACAAGTATTCCTCAATTTGTATTATGCTATATTGATTCATATTCTCCGACCTTGCTGATTCATCTTCAGGCAAGGAAATCTATCTTGGAAGGAAAGATTTCACCAAATCACACACGAGTGCTCCAGACCACCCTATCTGGAATTGTCAGAACTGAAATCTTCCCATTCTACTGACATTATAGTTGACTACATTATGCTTACTCTGTTTCTACAGGTCATCTCCAATGTCAGTTTGGTGTCTCCATTCTGCTTGGTCCTTTCAGCATTAAGCTTTTCATCAAAAGCTTAATGGGCAGCTCAAGATATAAAACAGACTATCATATGAATAGGTGGTCTCCATATTCTCAAATGCCATTAGCTAATTATGCTTTAGACCAGGGGTCTCCAAATTTTTCAGTCTGAGTGCCACATTGGACATTCAAGAGATAGATGTCTGTGGAAATTCTCAGTCATCCGGTCATGGTTGTTCCAGAGGTGCTTTTTCAAGAGGCAACTGAATTTTCTGGTTTTTCTTTGAAGACCAGTTTTTCTTCTGTTTCTCATCCAAGAAGCTCATCCAAGGGATAGGGGAAAGATCAGTTTTATAAACGAGAGAATAAAATTTAATTGAATGTGTTTCATTTTGCTCTGTGATATGATTCACAACAACAGCAAAAAAAGAAATGTGATGACTACAAAGAATAATGCCGTACTTGTATGGACAAATGATATAAGAAAAATGTCAAACATTAGCAAATGCTCTGAAGAAATAATGAATTGGTTACTTCAGATGAGAAAAGAAGGCTATTCTTTTTTTTAATAAATTTTATTTAAATTTTACAAATTTACATTAAATGAGAATCTGCCCAATTTTGTGGCACAGAATACAAATAATAATTATACCCCAAAAAGAACTTCAATAAAACAAAGCAAAGAAGTTCTGGCAATTTCAGGTTTAATCCACATGAAGCACAGAATTAATGTGAATGATGAAGCTGATCTTTTATTTCAAAATGAGTGAAATGCTGTTGTTATATCTGGGGCGTAAAACAAAAACGGAAGCTATGCTGGATCAGGCCACCCCCTCTCCCCTTGCAAGCAGAGGAAGTCACCTTCCAACTTGCTCAAAGGCAGCGCAAATTTTAAAGGGGAAGGTGCTTCCCCTTCCTCATCCAGCAACCTTCCAGCTGGCTTACAATGCCCCTCCATCGGAAAAATCTAGGGAATCCTACTTTCCTTTCCAAACAGTAGTGAATACAACCCTGCTTTCTCTCCCTGTACTGTTTGAAAAGGATTGAAGCACAGCACCTAGGAAATGCTGGCAGGCCGGAAAGAACCTTCCGGAGACCCAGATGTCACCTGTGGGCAGTGGTGGGTTGCAGTTCAGACACCTGCTTTAGAGTAATCATGGGACAGATTTTGCAGACATGCTTCCTGGTCTTCCAGATTATTTTCCTCCAAGGTCTTTGAGGCAGATCACGAACCTGGGATCCATCTCAGCATGTCTTCTTGACCAAAGATCACCAATTTCTCAGTGTAGCCTACCTCTGCTAAGGCTGCTAGTCAGAAATTGTCCATTGCTACTGAGCCACTCTTCCTGTCCCATTCATCACTAATAGCATTCCTGTGGATCTCTGAACTTGATAATCAGAGTAGTAATTAAAAGTTTGTGAACCGTTCTTTAATTTTCAACATTTCTGCATAAATATTACCTGAAACATTGTCTGTTTTCTACACAAGTCCTAAAACGAATTAAATGAAAAATAAAGGAGTCAAAATATTATCATGGTTCATTTATTCATTGAGGAAAATGATCCAAAGCTACATATCAAATATATAACCCTTTGCTTTCAGTAATTATGGTGCTTCCTTTAGGCAGCAATAACTGCAACTTCTTTTTTAAAAAGAAAATATGTTAACATTTTTAATAAACATAGTAAAAATTAATATAAACCAAACTACAAGAAAATAGGGGAAAAGGTAGAAGAAAAAAATGGAAAAGAAAGAAAAATAATATAGTAAATAATGTATAAAGAACTTAACCTCTTCATAATAACAAATATGAACAATTACAAATGTCTTAAACTTTCTTTTCATTTTTATGTCTTCTCACAAATTTTTATTACAACTTTAACAAATTTCTTTTTTAAATTCAATGTGAGAAAGTTAACCCTGTCACTCAGCAGGAAAAAGGAGGTCTTAATCCTGCTGTACAGGGCTTTAGTCAGAACCCATTTGAAATACTGTGTCCATTTCTGGAGATCTCACTTAAAAAAAGATATTGATAATCTTGAGAAAATTCAGAGATGGGCAACAAAAATGGTGCTAGGCCTGAAGAACAAAACATATCAGGAGAGATTGGAGGAACTGAATATGTAAGCCTGAAGCACTGGTGGGTTTCTACTGGTTTGCCCCGGATGGGGCGAACAGGTAGTGATAGCGGCGGGAGGCTCTGCCCACCTGCCCGGACATCATCATGGACGCTCTGCGCGTGTGCAGAAGCACTGTGCTTGAGCGTGCGAGTGTGCGCGCTCCCAATTCCAAACCGGTAGCGAAGGTAAGTGGAACCCACTACTGGCCTGGAGGTCAGAAGGGAAAGTGGGGACATGATTGAAACCCTTAACTATATTAAGGGTGTGAATAAGGTT